GTCTGCGACGGAGCAGTCATCCCATGCGAACACGTGTAAGCGCGACTCGATTCGCGCAGCCTGCACGTGCTCGCACGCGGTGATCGCAGTCGGCAACGACCCGCCCTCAAGCATCTCGCAGCTCTGCGATGACATAATGACACACTCCGAGAGCTTCGAGTCGTTGTTGTACGACCCTGACTATGTCACCCCTTGGATAGAGGAAAGTCTCCGACAACGATACCCTTGCCTAACAGAGAATCGACTGTATCCTAGGGAGTTTCACTGCGCCACCACTAGCGCCCCCCGGTGCCCTGATTACCCCACTTCCAACCACACCGACTACTTTATCTCCCCTGGTTCCGTCGTTATCTCCACTAATTTCCCTCCCTTCCGTCTTCTTCTCTCGTATCATCAGCTCACGGTCGTCCCGTGGAACGCCATAGCCCGCTACTGGCCTAGCACGCCCTGCGGAAATTGCCGACAACGTGCCACTCAGAGAACCCCGGGACCGCGAGGGCCCAACCCGAACATACGACGAACGGCCCCACGTGGCAACAATCAACGGACTGACTCATCGGAACCACACCCACCCGGAAGGGATTTTTCAGTGAACCGCCACCCTCAAAACCGATGGATCGCACGACCTTGAATGACCCGCGCATGCCATCTGCCTTATGACCAGAGGCGGTCCGCCCTCTCCGCTAAATTGCACGCGTGCCCCCGAAAAACTATGCCAAAGGAGATCTCAGTTCTGACCTGGGACTCCACCCCCACTTTCCCAAAAATCCTTGGCACACCCCTTGTCGCACTTCCAGGCCCACACTCTACTCCGATCAGGAAGTCGCGTTGGGCGTGAGGTTGGTACCAGAGCCCGACACGTGGCCGGGTCTTAGGATTAATAGCACAATAATTGGGCGATCTGGCTAACCGAAGGTGACCTCGACCCCGGAACGCGCATAGACGCGACCCCGTCATCACCCGAAGTAGATCGGTTAATCGACGGGCAGCCAACATGAATGCTAATGCAAAGAATCTGAATCCGCAGCAGAATGTTAATCGACCAAATCCTAATCAACCCGCCCCACGAGCACGGGCTCCCATGACGCCACCTGATCTTTATCTGTTCGACCTTGCACATCATCTCGCAGGATTTTGGTTGGCCACGCTCCGAGCACAGCAGTGTGACGATAACGAAGCTCAGGTAAACATTCCCGCTCGCTTAGGAGGAGACGCTCATCACTGGTTTAGTACCTATGTATGGGTAGATCTTCCGACCTTCGAACGAGATTTTCTGAATCGATTCGATTATGTCCATCCTGAGCAAGCACTTTATATGATCAAAGACCGGGTGCAAAAACCTTTCGAGTCTATCGCAGAGTATCGAAACCGGTTCTACCGAATGTTTATAAAGACTGAGCGAGGCGAGCAAGTCGGGAGAGATTTGTTTATTGATGGGCTTCGTAGCCGGACGATAAGGGCGAAGCTGCGAAAGCAGTTCTCCCCCATCAATCACACGCTGCAACAGATCATGGCCGCTGCAGAGGACATGGAACGAAAGTTCGCGGCGAACTTCCTGGAAGGAGAAGACTATCCTAAGGAAGGGGATTCGTTCGAACTCGCAAGGGCAAGAGCTGAGTTGGCCGCGTTGCAGAACAAGTTCGAGAATATGGGATTTGCGACTGGCCCGGTCACCTATCTGGAAAAGATAGCCCCTAAACGACCCGCCCCGCGTGTAATCCTAAGTGTCCCTGTTCCTGTAATACCGGCACTTGTAATGATGGCACCCCCGCCACCGATTGAGAACCCGGTAAGGACAAATGAGTCTACTGATATTTTTGAGCTAACCAAAACGTTAATTAGCCTAATCCAGAAAAGCAAAAAGGAACAGCGAGAGCATAACGCTCAGTTAGAAGCCATGATGAGAAACATGCGACCTATCGCAGTGTGTGCCCTTCCAATCCAACAAGGGCTAGCCCCGGCGCCTGCTCTCGGAGGAGCCGCAAGCAATCTGAACGTTTGTTATGCATGTCATCAACCAGGGCATCTAGTAGCCCGTGATTGCCCCCACCGGCCCCCGCAACAACGGGTCGGGGTTGCACCGATGGCAGCGACTCCCATCGCTAACGGACCTGGATGGGTAGGAGCCCTGATGGAAGAAATGGAAGGTGTAGGAAGTGCGTTGGCAACCACGGAAGAAGCTTCTGAGCTCATCCCGTTAGATCAATAGATTCAATACGTATCGCTTGGTTATCCTGGGTTTGGAATGATCGGAACGATTAGGCCAGCGCTGGAACAGAATGAGGTGGCGGAGTGGCGACCTTCTCCAGGAAAGATGGAGTCGGGAGGACCCACCTTCGTTACTGCGGAAATCGATGTGCTCAACATCATTCGAGCCTTGGACCATCGGATTCCACTTCCGATTGGCCATCTGCTCTCGATCTCTGAACATGCTAATGAGCGAATGTTACAACACTATAAGGCGAATTGAAAACGATTCGCCCTCGCTCGAACAACGAACATGAAGGCTAACAGCCCCATGGCTGGCACGTCGGATCCATTACGAGTAGGACTAATACAGAAAGACGATCATTTCCCACGGATTAAACCCATCCCCTGGAAATCTGCGGAATGCGACATCGAAATATGGGGACTTCCGTACAATGCAATCATTGATTCGGGAGCTGCTGTTTTGGCTATTTCACTTCGAGTGGTCGAGAGGGCAGGAAGGAAAAATTATTTGATCATGCTTACAGAAAAGGATCAGCTCGTTTCAGCAAACGAAGAAATATTAAAACGGTGGAAAGAATGACCAATGTCGCTTTCCGATTAGGAAAGGTGCATGCACTGGGAGATGTCGTGGTATTAGATGTAAACACCTACGAAGTTCTTTTCGGTCTTCCCGCTCTTGTGGCATTGCGAGCAAAATTGGATTCCGAGCAACGGTCGATCATCCTCCGAAATACGGGAGGAAAGCCCTATGTTGTTCCTATGAGACTGACTCTTCGTACTACCATCAACGTGGTCCCGCGAGTTTTTCCGATGATAGCGGGAACTCTCCGCATGATCACCTGGGAAAACTCCGCAGACGATGAACCATCATCTAAGGACGCGGATAGCAGTGACGAAAATGATCCGGAAATTCTGAAACTAGCCCGACAGCGCATTTATTACCCGCCGTCCAGAACGATCGCAAGAACGATGCACATCTGACCAGTCGGAATATCCAAAGGACCAGGGCGATGATTTTGGGTGAACCCCTTGTACAGATTTCGAGGATGGTCGACTCTTTGGAACCCCCTCAAACCCTGTACAAAGGAATCTCCCCTCTCCTCGCCCGATACAACGACAAAAAGCACTATTGCGATATCACAGATCTCCCAAAGTCCCTGTTGACACCCGCAAAAGAAGTACGACTGCTACGCCTGGGGGCGGAGGCCAGTTCTTTGGAACCCCCTGGGCGTCTCGAGGTTGAATCAGATGAACTCGGAGTAAAGATCGCAACTAGAACCGTACCATGGCAAGATATCTGCGATGGGATCACCCCGGAAGACCACGTGGCCATCCGGGAGGAAGACGCCCAGATGATGGTCACGGTATTCTCCTGGCGATCGGACCGTTCGTTTATCTCTGCGCCACCACCTAATGTGGCGAAACAAGCACGCACGAAGCAGATCGACGTACGGATCTGGGATCAGCTCTTCGAGTTGCATGATTCACGGTACGTACCTGATGAGATTCACCGGTTGATTGCGGACATTCTGACGGAATATCAGGGAGCGATTAGCGTAATAGACACTGACATCGGCTTGTCGTTGGTCATTCAACACGAAATTCAAACGGGAAATCATTCCCCCATCCACTGCAAGCCCTACCGATACTCCCTGATAGAACAGAAAAAGACTCTCAAACGAATTCGGAAATTCGAAGCAAGCGGGTGGATCGAACCCGCCACCGGACCATGGTCATTTCCAGTAGTGTTAGTACCGAAGAATAACAGATCAATCCGCATATGCATCGATTATCGCAAACTGAATGAAATCACGATCAAAGATGTGTATCCCCTCCCCCGGATTGATGATTTGCTGGATGCGATTGGATGTGCTAATTATTTTAGTAAGTTTGATATTCGGCATGGCTTCCATCACATTCTGGTTAAGGAGGAACATCGGCCAAAGACGGCCTTCGTATTGTTTTGAAGGCACGTGGCAGTGGGTTCGATGTCTGATGGGAATTTGTAACGCGCCTGCCACGTTTCAGCGAGCGATGAACGTGACGTTCCAAAACTTCGTCAACAAGACACGGCTGATGCAGGGAATGATTAACTTTTGCATAATTGTATACATGGACGATATTCTTGTCTACTCGGAGACCTATCACGGACATGCGCAACACATCGAGTGGACATTGGGAGCACTGAGAGATGCTGGATTCAAGATTGCACTAGAGAAGAGCGAATTTTTCCTCTCAGAAATTTCGTTCTTGGGCTACGTGGTGACACGTGGAGGACTGCGACCGGACTCCAGGAAGGTTGAGGTTGTGAAAGAAGCCCCCGTTCCCACGTCGCTGACATAGGTTCGAGCCTTCTTAGGCCTGGCGTCGTACTACCCCCGTTTTATCAAAGGGTTCGCGGCGATTGCTCGGCCTCTCACGAATCTGCTTCGCAAAGACCAGCCGCTGCAGTGGGACTCTGAATGCGGACAAGCCTTTGATGCTCTCAAAGAGGCCCTGGTCACTGCACCTGTTTTGATCCGACCGGACCCTGCCAAGCAATTTATTCTTATAACGGACTGGCAACCGAAAACGATCTCCGCCATTCTGGCACAGAAGGGGAACGATGGTCGCGAACACCTCATCGAGTACACGTCGCGAACGGTGCCAGATGAACGAAGGAATGACTCAGCACCCCAAGGCGAATGCTATGCAGTAGTCTGGGGAATCCAACACTTCCATTCTTATCTCTACGGACAGAAGTTCCGCCTCGTGACGGATCATGAGTCTTTGCTGGCCTTGAAAAAGCTCACTAATTACACGGGCATGATTGGACATTGGGCGGTACGGCTACAGGAGTACGATTTCGACATCATCCACCGGAAGATAGAAAGACACGGCAATGCGGACGGATTGACACGTCTACATCGGCCCGCTAAAGTACCTAAGGGCGAGGAAATCACTCCATGGAAGGAGTCAGAACCGGCAAACGGGCCTAAGTACGGACAAGTGGCAGTTTTCCCACGTGGCAAGAAGCAGATTGGTGGCAATGGGTGATGGAGGTAACCCCACTACCCCTCTTTTTCCCCTCTCCTCTTCATCTCTTCTCTCCCTGCCTCATAAATTTTGCTATTTTTGCGAAGCAATTTCTCACGTATATTCAGTCTCCATGCGTCCTAACGGGGAAGGGTATGCGGAATGGATAGACTGCCGATAGTGAGTCGCACGAGCCCATGGCTCGTGCATCCAATACCGAAATGACAGTAAACCGTGGCTATGCCCCTTGTGTCGGGTTGACAAGATCCCGACCGAGGCTCGCTTTCTGGATGCCACGTCAAAAGGATTGGAGAAGACCCGGAAGTTTAGAAGGGCCGAAGTATGGACCGATATTGCTTTGATTGCCACCTTAGTAGGTAACCCCCTCCAGGATTTCACCAAGGAAGATCGAGGGAGGGCTAATGAAAGGGCTCGGGATTATCGATGGCCCTGATGGGTAGAGGGAAGGTTAGAAAAACGGAAAACGGACGGCAGTGGGATTTGGATCGTTGTACCGCATCCGTTCATGAGGTATGACTGGGTGAAGACAGCACACGAAGAAATGGCGGGCCATTTTGCCGTACGAATTACGGAATCGGCAATCGACAAAAATGAGTGGTACTGGTCCAACATTCGAGACGATGTGAAATTCGTCGTCGCAAACTGTCAAGTTTGCGCCGATGATAAGTCGCCGATCCAGCCGCCAAGATCGATAGTACCAACTGTAGTTGAGCGGTCGTTTCAAAGGGTGAGTATGGATACTTCCGATATTGTGGTCCCTCCTGGCCCTAATAGTTGTGAATATTCAGTTCTATTGGTATTTGTCGACCATTTTTCGAAGTGGATCGAGGCCTATCCATGTCGCACGCGGCAAGCCACCAAGATCGCGCGGTATGTTAACCGTTTTCTCGGGATGCACAAGGATACGAAAGAAATCCTGACCGATAACGTGGCAAAATTAAGAGGGGAAGTATTAAGGAACCTGGTCATACACGGTGTCGTTATGCGGAATACAGCATCCCACATGTCACAATCCAATGGGCTGGTAGAAAACGCGAATAGGGTGATAAAGACATCGCTGCGACGAAACATCGCGGCCCTGGACCCCAGGCCCTGGCCCGGTATTGTAGACCATATCTTGGCGGTCCATCGCGAAACGTCCCATGAATCGACGGGCGTGAGCCCCTTCCAATTAAGGACCAATAGCGTCACTTGTGTTTCGATACCAAGCCTCCCCGATGAATCGACGCTCAACCGCCGGCCCACACGGGCCACGGTTCGAGACAAGGCCAAGCGGCACTTAGAGTTAATGGAACGGTCCCTCCCCAGGCTAGCCCGAAAACGACAGAAACTGACCGAGTTGGCCCATGGCCGACAGGTCCAAAGCTACGAGGCCCGAAATAGGAACGCAGGTCCACGGCCCCAGTACAAATTGGGGGACATCGTGCAGGTGAGGAAATGTGCTCGCAAGGGTAAGCTAGCGCCACGATTCTTCGGGCGATTCCTCGTGATTGAGCTCGGACCAAACGGTGTGAACATCATGCGGCTTGTGCCTGAAGTCTTCGACAGCCGATTGGCTCGCCCGATCATCCGCCACGTGTCCCACCTTCGTCCCCTTCCTTCTTCCCCATCTTCGCCTTCATCTAGTCCCCCCTCCACTGCGGAAGAGGACGACGACTGCTTATCGCCTGTCTCTTCGTCTCCTTCTCGTTCTCCTTCTGTCACTCCATCCCCGTCACCATTGCCATGAGTTTTCTGGCGGAGCGAGCTCTCAGCGATCCTCTGCTGGTACGACGGTGCTACATCTCGGCGATCCGACAAGTTCATCATCCGCGGCTCAGCCCGGACCTTCGGCGACTTGCACAGTTCTTCTGCACTGGGGGAGTGTACGCAGCCGCTGAGTTTCGATTTGCAGGCAGTCCCCGGGGGATTGTTTTGGCAGAGGCGATAGCAGTTCATCGACGATCAGCTCCTGGAATCAGCCACGTGTCTACGGTTGTCTCCTTCAGCGGCGACATCAGCACCATCAGCCCGCTGCGGCATACAGCTACCAAGACGACGCTCCAGCTGTAGCGCAGCAGCTGGCGTCGGAGTGGAATCGTTGGCTCACGCCCCACGGGGACAATCTTTTCCCCACAGACGGCGTCGACCTCGACGGGATCCGAGTTTTCCAGCAGGAGCCGGTGGTGGTGCTCCCTGAACTCATCCCCTTCCACCGTCCTCAATGAACCCGTCCCCAATCTCTACCTTCGACCTCCCTTCCTTCTTTCCCACCTTCTGGCAATCCGGAGTCCACCCGCATCTCTCCTTTTGTCTGGAGTCACTCGTTGTCCCCCTCCTCGATCCCCAGCAGTGGAGGTGTTGGCGAGAACACTTCGCCGAGTTGTCAGTGTGTTTGGTCAGAGTAAAGGTCACGTGGACGCAGCACGAGGATCACCGCCAGTGGGCCGAGTACCTTGAGCTGCTCATCATACAGGCATGGTGAACGAGAGTGGAGGGCGATCTGCTCGGATTCCTCTTCGGATCAGTGCGGCCCGATCATCGTCAACTGATCGTGCAAGAATTAACGGTCCCCCTTGCGCGGCTGGCCGACGACCTCCCACTTGAGATCGTCTCACAAAGCGACAACAGCCCAATCCCGCACGTTCTCACGCGGACCTTGGCGCCATATCTTCAGTGGTCGGCGTGCTTGGAGGAGCTAGGAAGCGGCCGCAACCCACCGTCACGGCGCGATTATCTGGACCCGCACAAAATAGTCGATCTCGCCTTCTTTCAAGATCGAACGGCCTCCGAGAACGAGGAGGTAGAAATTGAAGCGGAGGAGGAAAGCTCGGAAGAAGAAGAAGAAGCCGAAGAAGAGGCCGACGAGGAAGAAACTCCCGAAGAGGGGAGTTATAGTGAGCACAGCGAAGGGGAGCAAAGTGAGGAGGAGGAGAAGGAAGAAGAGCAAGACGACGAGGAGGAAGAAGAAGGAGACCAGGAGCAGCTGGAAGAGTCGGAGTGGGAAGATTTTGAGGAGGAAGTGCGTGACGAGGCTCGGGCGCAGGCCCAGGCGCAGAAAAAGAAAGAGATCGTGGCCAGGAAGCGATAGTTGGAATTCGCCAGCGCAGCCGATCAGCCGCTCACCGAAGATCTGGCCCGGGATCCAGAGCCACCTAAGCCTGAGGATGGGGACTCAGCTGCCGAGACTTCGGCCGCACCGGCAAGACGGCGACGAAGCCGATCCCCCTCCCCCTCCGCCACCGACCGCCCACCAACTCGTCCACGTACCGATGCGGGGCATCGGGCTTCATCCCCGGTCATTATCCCGCCGTCCCCTTGATCACCTCTCTTTCCACCAGATTACCACTCGCGTCACCTTCCCCAGTAATCCCTTCCCGATCGATATCTTCCGCTTTTTCTACACTACCCACCTCGCTGTCACCGTCCATCCCCACCCTTCCACCCAATGCGCCCTTCCTGTCTTCTGCCTCCATATCCTTCTCCTTAGCGCCGCGTGGCGAGGCCACAATATGATCGGGGTATACTGCATGATAACGGGGACTATCCCCGCATGTGAGAACCACGATCACTTCCGCGCGGCGCTTTTCCGAACCTTTACCACCCTCTACCCCGATTACCTCGCATCCCTCTCTCACACTGGCAACCGATTCCCCCGCTTTCACCGCATTGTTCGCTATCAGGAACTCCCGGAGACGGTGGCCGGAATGGAGAGCTTCCTTCCCCCGCTACCAATCAACCCTCCCCCTCGCCATCCCTCTATGTACCATCTCCCTTTCCCCTCCCTGACGCTCGTTGATGTATGACTCATGGGCACGTGTCATCCACTCCTTGCATCGTCAATGGCCCTTCCTGAGGAATTAGTACTAGAGTTGTGTTTGCCGCATTGGACGACGTCCACACACATTCAAATGGTAAGTGGCATGGAGAGAAGAGCTCCGCGTCTCGATCGATTAGAAAGATCGACACGTGTCAACAAGCAAGCAGGAGCTTGCTAATATTAGAACCCCCTAGCCGTCACATATGTGACGAACCACTTTTTGTAGCGCGAGACTTTCTGCACGATTGCAATGAGGGGTCCTAAGCTGGGAAGGCTGGGCCAATTACGGGAGATTGGGATGGATGGGAAATTGCATCAGTAACCTCCCTTCTTCATCTTTTGCGTCGATTCTTTTCAGATGGTTGAGTTCAGAGTTGGGTGTGTCTCAGGATGGGCGATTGATTGGTCAGGCGGAAGGCTGGCGCGCCGCCGAGCGCGCGAATAATAAATGTTGACGTCGTTTCTTTTATTTCGGTTTCGGAACCTTTTAGGCGCGGACATCGCGCGAGAATTTTGCTTCGATCTTTTCGAATTTCCTTTTCGAATTCTTTTTCGAATTCTTTTTCGAATCTTGTCGAGCCCCGATGACTCTCGGAATTTCGGACTTTCTTTCCGGAACTTGTGCTTTTTGCTTTTTCGCATTAGATAGGAATTTAGGAATTTTGTAATTAGGACTTTTTTTTGTCGAGCGGCGCTTTTTGCTTACGCGCTTCTTTATGCAGCTGTAACAGGATTCTAATTAGTCGACGCCTTTAATCGGGTGTGTAACTGTAATTTTGGGCGGGCGCCGTTGTAA